TGTATACAGAAATGAATAAACAATCAGGTTCATGTGTGGCACATATCATTTTAACTCTACCATTTTGCCACTCAAATCTAATTCACTAATTCAAAAACATCTTATTTCAGGTAGAAAATACAAATGGAGCTTGCACAGTTATACAAATGGTGCATTCATGCAAATAATTATCTAGGATAACAGAAGGAGAAATCAATTAATTTCTTTCATATGCTGGGAGTTTTTTGATTCCTACCTATAGTTGTGATAATTGTAGCAGAGAAAAATACAGCACTTGGAATGTCCCAGTTAGAAGCGCTTTGTGTTGAATTAGTCTGCAATACACCGCTGTCATAAGCCTTAATAATGGTTTTGATGAGAGTTTCCAGTTCCTCTTGACTTACACATGTAAAATTCTCTAGAATAAGATAAAAAAAAGCTTCAAAATAATGAGTCCCTGACTTTACAAACATAATATTGTACATGTATGTCTTCATTTTGCTGTTTTATCAAATATTTTAATGTGCCATATCAGATTTATTCAGGAGTAATCAGAAAAGTGCTGATATGATATATGATATGATAAGATATGATATGATATGATACGATATGATACTACCCTGTTTATACAGTAATAACTTGACTTTATTCAATAGGGGAAATTGCTAATTTTACAAATACTGATTTTTAGATGGTCATAATTTCTTAAAATTAGAATATTCCTATTTAGTGGTTGCAATGAAATTAAAAAGCAGGCTACTCTATAGTATGGTTCTATTCTATGGAGTAAAAGCACCTCAAATGGTTATGCTTTATAAAAATTAGTTTTTGTGATTATAAAATTACAGATAGATCTGACAGTTTGATCATTTTTGCCCATTGTAAAGATTGAGTAATTATCATACTTGCAGATATAAGACATCTTCACATATATTTCTGTACAGTTGGCCTAAAACACAGCATAGTGAAAATATGTAATCACTGCCTATTCGTGAGTATCAAAGTTAAAGTCATATACTTACTAAGGAAATTTTGATACCCTGTGAAAGCTGTTGTCCTCACTGTATCCTCATTTGGAGTTTCTATGAAATGGAACACTACACCACCAATGATAACATATATGAGACAAACAAATAATAGCAAGGCTAAGACCCAGCCCTTCATGTTGCCCCAAAAAACCGACTGGAGGGTTCAAGTTTCACCAGGTTAAGCCAGTAAAAAGGTCCTGAAAATAAACATATCAATTTGCAATACATTTAGTCAAAGCATAACCATTCAAAGAAACATTATGTTTGCTTCAGTAGAATTATAGGGTCAAAGGAATCTCTTTATCCTTTAAGCCTCCATTTTGTGCACACATATTAAAGTGGACTGGGGTAAAAGCATCCAATGCTTTTTTTTAATTAAAAAATATCAATTAAAAATATCGTTCTTTGTTGATTTACATTTGTTACCAGCTCCAAGTCGTATTTCTCCATTTGAATTATCATTATTCAGACTAAACACTTATATTGAGCATTAACCTTGTCATGTATGTGTGGATCAATCTCCCTTCTCAACAAGCACACACATTTACTATGCAGTGAACAAATATATATCAAAGTACATAATTTATAAGCACAACTGATATCATACCCTTTCCATTAAATATTTGATGATTGAATTTCACCTGAAACATTTGTGGAAACTAGAGATATATGTGGATGTTTATATGCTGTACCAAGAAGATTCTGGATATTATTATTATTATTATTATTATTATTATTCTTATTATTATTATGTAAAACCACTTCACCTAATAAAAACAAGATAAAAATCTGTTTATGTTGTGTTTTAAAACTATGTACCACTACTTTCGTACAAAAGCCACTGAATGTCTTTTTGACATTTTAAAACAAGTCCCATAGTGTTTGCAATATGGCTTGACCAAAAAGTTATTAATTTTTAGTTATTTAGTTTTTTAGTTATTAATTTAATTTATCAATTAAAATGGTATAAAATATCCAATCCAAGGGAAGGAACAGTTCAAGCACAGCTTCACAAGTACGTAGGAGATTTTTTTTTCATACAGATTATCCAATTCTGGTGGGAAAATCCCAGATCAGATGCCTTAAATTGTTAAACTCTACAAGCCTTGACTACACATACATGTAATCTGTAATTCAATCTATGTTCTCTCTGTTAATGCCCTTGGGCCTAAAATATGATTACTGTATCCAATTAACTTCATATTATACACACAATTAATTAATTAAATCTTAACTACAGCCCATCCAGTCCAGTCCAATAATTAATGTACATTTTATCTTAATTCACTAGGTCCACCTCACCTGAATTTCTTTGAATAAGCTGTAAAATGCAGCCAGTCTTCTAAAGATGTTCTATTGATTTTCCACTGTCTTAGGCACATCCACAGTTGTCATCTACAACTAATCAATAATGTTTCTGTGCCTCTGACATCTGGTATTTACCTCTAAATCAAACACTTATAACAGTGTTCTATAGCTATTAGAAACGTTAATTCAGACAACACGATGTTTGCTACACTAAATAATGAATTCGATATCTATTCAATATTCAATGTGGCACTCGTAATGAGAAGGACACACTTCAATTCCTTGAGATACAATTTTTAATATCATTTTTCCTCTCAAAGCTGATTGTCAGATTGTCAGAAAAAAGGAAGTGATAAATTACCAGAGGTGGAAAAGATCAATACATTAATTTCTCATCCCTGATGATCACTTCTCAGACAAAAAAAAAAAGAGAAAACAAAAATCAATACTGAAGGTAGTAGTGATGATGGTATCAGGACAATTCCCCCCGGACAATTCCCCCCCGGACTATTCCCCCCGGACAATTCCCCCCCAGGACAATTCCCCCCCGGACGATTCCCCCCCGAAGAATATATATATTTCAGGGGCGGATTCAGAGATATTTTCTGACAGTCTTCCATATTATCTTTGTTGATCCGTTCTTCATTTTTGACCGTCTTCCGACGGAAAAAATGGATACCCGTCAATGTAAACTTGAAAATCTGACCGTCTTCTGGAAGACCCAGAAGACGCCCTAAATCCGCCCCTGNAATTGTCCGGGGGGAATAGTCCCGGGGGGAATTGTTTGGGGGGGAATTGTCCTAGAATCGTGATGATTTATACATAATCACCATATTGAAAAACAAAAAGAAGAATTAAGCTCATTAATTGAAAATATATTCAGGATAATAGACAGTGCCAGGGCATGCTTTGTAAAATAATGCCAGAGAACTTAATTTCCTGTAACACAGATTGTTATGACCTTCTGCTAGTAGCAAAGGATTAATTTTACCCAGTATTCTTTAAGGATAAAAAGTTCATTTTAAAATTTGGCATACCACAGTACAGCTTGATTTTCCAAATTTAAGGTTGAATTATACTGTACTTCTTTGAAATGCCAAATCAACTGCAACTCACAGATCCCTCAAAAATCAATGAATCAGTTGACTCATCAATCAAACAATCAATCATCAATCACTCAACTAAAGTACATGTATTTATAATTAACTGGTCGATCAATAATAATGATTAAGTTAGACGCGTTCCTGGCAGGGATGCTGTTAATTACCAGAATCCTGTGATAACTCATGCCAAATGCATGCTAAGACCAATACCTGTTGAAGGATTCAATCATGAAATATCTTTTTTCATACGATAACTGATCACGACACATTAATATTGACCATATGGATGTTATTGACCATATGGATATTTACATACTAGTTAATTAGATATCATGTGCTGTTGTTTAGAAACCTCAAAAGGATGATTTTGCAAAGTGTCCAAACACACAGTGACCCGTTTTACATGTGTTAAAACATTAAAAAAAATGATGAACCAAAAGAAATTATCGTGGTTAGGACTCAACCATATATATATGTCATATATTTTGAATATACATGTACTGGTACAAGAATCCGAATAATAACGTTTTCGACCGCTGTAAACTTGTGTTCAATAATATTAATTAATTTTTTTAAAAGTTAATAAAACTTCTTTTCCTCACCTAAATCCGACTGGATTGTACTACAGTTTGTTTGAAATGCGGTGGAATTCACCAAAGAAGAATAACAAACATAGCTTTCTGTTGCGCTATAGTGAGTATAACAGGTGTGCTAACATCACTATGTAGTTTTACGCTTAAATAAACACGAGTGACCCTCGATAACGCTTCATCTTTTCATAAATATCACGAATCGAAAACGAGGGTCTAATTTGGATAAGCTGCACTAAAGTAACATGAGGGAAAAAACTGATCAATAGTAAAATAAAACCTACTTTTTATGAAGTGATACTCAAAATCGACCTCTTGTCATAAAAAATTCATGTTATTGGCAGCTTGTCACAACATATACTCGGATCAGAATTAGGATTATGCAGAGAGAGGTTTGAGAGTATGCAATGCTTTTGGAGAGTATTTGAAGAGGCAGCCTGGGATAAGACGCACATTTTGATTGGTCAATTTGTGTGGTTGATAGTAACAAATATGGCGTACTAAGTCGAAAATAAGAACTCCATTTTCGGAGTTCAAAACGACATTTACACCCTTTTCGTTCCCATTTGTTAACATTCAACATGTCATCGAAGCCAAGAAAATCAGGTGAGACCTTATATTTGACAGATTCGCTGCGTGCATATTTTTTATTTCCAAATATTTGACTCCAAAGTGTCTGCTCAAAGATAAAAAATGACAAAGTTGTGAGATGTAGACTCTACAATGTATGTTAATCTTAATGCGTTGACTGATATTATGGACTGGTTGTTGTGCTGCGTGTTGGTCTTTAATGATTCATCTCGGCATGCTTCAGGATTTTTACGTATAAATTGCGTGAATAATATTACTTGCCAATGTAACGTGCTGATGCAGATTTACTTGGAGTGATGCGTTATAACCTTAAAATTAAATGTGATGAGGTTTATTATTTTTGTAATATTTCATCCAGTCTGATGTACATTAGAAATAGAAAGCCCATATCCCTAAAGTTACAGATTTTTAGTCTGATTGTATGCCTTCAATTCGTACATGTACTTACAGAAAGCTAGTGCAAATACTGTAGAAATATACATGCCATTTCTCAAATCATAATATGATACACCTTTTTGTGCACCCTTTTAGCTGGCTTTACAAAATTTTCAGTTTTTATTTTTCCTAAATCCAAAGTGGTAAGTTTTGATTTAGCATAACAATACAAGTACTTATTTGTAGTCTATTCTCCGCAACCTGCTCTGGCAAATGGAATGAAGGGAAACCTCATCCTAAAAAGTAGCCGTAAGTACTAACATCTACTAAACAGAAAACTTGCTTCTTTATCATGCAGAGTGAAGTGACAGTACGTTAATAAATAATTGCTTTTAATTTTTCTGCATAGTAATCAGACATATTAACATTTTTTTCAAAGCTATTGATGAATTTACTTACATGAAAAAATAATGTGTATTTACATGTATCTTTTAAATTCATGTGTCATGATTAATTTTTGCAACAGCATTTGCCCCCACACAGAACAGTCTCAACTCTCAGTACCTGGTCCTAGATCACATGAATGCTCACTACAGGAAAGTTAATACTGCAAAAAGTAAGTACTAAAATTTTTGTAAGTATTGAGATATCAACATTTAAAAAAAAACAGTTAAAGAAACAACATATTAAAATATGAGTTTGAAATGAATCTGCATACAGTATGTAGCCTCAGAACTGAGTTTGTCACAAATGTCATTATGAGGTGAGGTTTTTGAATTTTTTATGATCCTTCTTTGATTGTATACATTTTCCTAGAAATCATAAATGCTAAAGATATTCTTTTAGTTCAAAAGAAGGTTCTTCTGATCTTCTAAAACCCATTTAGAGTCATAACAAGGATAAACCATCTTCTGTTTAATTGGCATAATAAATTATTGACATTTATCATTTTCTTTTATTATCTAAGGTGCTATTGACATGTCAGTTCCAAAGGCTTGGCTTGTCAGTCAGAAAGGTAATAGGAAAGCAAAGCACAGAGAGTACTAGTAGATGGCAAATATGTTGAATAAGTCACTAGAAGATAATTAAACTTTTAGTAATAATGATTATTGTCCCGATTTGTCAGTTGCCTGGTTGTAGAAACTGAGAATTTGTTTTAATTATGTCCTTTTTGATATTACTATAGAGAGGTTGGTACATAATTTGATTGTTCCCATTACTTGGTGCAATGCACGTACATGTTACATATATGTAAGTATTCTCCATCTCTCTCTCTCTCTATATATATATATATATGCACTTATGTATGTATGTTCTTTCATAGTCCGTGACCAGAACAGACGTGCACAGCAACAGAAATCTAAGAGTCGTCCTCCATCAGGTGCCAAGTCTGTGCCAAGTGCACAAATACAGGATGATGAAGATGAGGATGATTTTGACCCAGAAATAGTAAGTAATACCTTCTTGATGGAATTAAAGCAAGGAGGTTGAGGAGTATTCTAACTAAAAATTACTAAATTAGATTATTAATGTGCTTGATTTTATTTGCTTTATGTTTGATTTAGAGATATTATAACTTGATTTTGAACTTTTTAGGGCACATCGCGAGAAGAAATGGCTTTAATTAAGAACTTAATACATGAAACACAACAAGAAAAAGAGGAGGAGGAGGCTAGAATGTATGCAAAGAACAACGGGGAAGATTATGACCCTTACCAAAACAGGAGACGTCCCACAGCAAGTGATATGCAGCTCTTAGACCGAATGATCAAGGATTCAAGACAATCCCCAAGCTCATACAAAAGCCCACGTCCCATGGCCTCAAATATCCCTGACTCCAGGGAGGGAAGTATCAGCCAAACCCAGGGGGGAACCCCTAGGAGAAAACAAGGGGGAGACCTTCTAGATACCAGGGGACATAAATTTACTGAGCCACAGAAACCTTTTACCCCAAGGACTCTCAAGTCAACTAAGTCGTCAAAGCTGACTCAGTACAAGTTTTACAACCCACCACCTAAGAAACAGGTACACAAGAGAAGGGGTATCGACCCTTCAGTTCGAGGAGAGACACCCACTGACACATATGATTTGATGGATGAGACTTTGCAAAGCCGGGATTTCTCTAGACTCAGGCAGTCGGGTAAGAAAGATGTCCTTGGTTCTGTTTTATTATTAAATGCATATTTAAAAGGTTCCATGCTTTAAATGATATGAGATAATTGGAATGATAGGAGATAGTCAGATAAAACTTATTATTTTGAAATGTTGTAGCGGGCTGTAAACAAGCCAAATTTTAACATTTTCTCTTTTAGATACATACACAGTACATTACTGTTTTAGGAACACCACTTTTTAACTTACATGTGGACATGTAAATACACTTGAAATATTCTGGCAAATATTTTGCAAAAAATTACTCAAATTGTTTTCTTTTCTAGCAAAACTTAAATTGGTACTGCTTATTGGAGCAAGTGTTATAATAGACAGAAGGGCTGTACATAAAATATATTGTATCTTCATAACATGAACACATTTATAACTAATTTTTTAAACTATTCATTCCAGGAACTGTGCCTCCACTGGACATCTCACTCGACGCTGACCACATGAAGTGGTTAAAGGAACAGGAGAAGAAAGCTCAAGTCAGAGCTGGAAGCCATGTGCAGCATGAACTGGAGCTAGATCACCAGCGGGGGTCACTCATGCAGGCCCATGGAGGCCCAAGAAAAGACAGAAGTAACAGCTACTTGGACATGACTGGCAAGCATCAGCAACAAGACAGGTTGGTTAAAATTATGATTACAATTATTGAACAAATCTGACTTCAAAACAGAAGATAGAATTTGAATTAATCATTTGTAGGAATATTTGGCTATTCTGAGCACAAATCAATTTACATCTGTTCTGAAACATATATTCAAAAGAATTGGTAAAAAGTCTAAATTTCTTACGTGTATGAAGTATGATGTTTAGACCCTTCTTTAAAGACCTTTCTTCGAAGGGAGTTTTCTCACATGACTAACTCTTCTATGTATCAGTAAACTCAAGAAGAAAAGATGCGATTGTAGCATAGTGCATGTATACGTTTACTCATTAACCATCATTACACAAGGGACTGAAAGTCTTATTTCAAAATACATAGTGATACGATATATTAGAAGGACATCTTTGCAGTGCAAAAATGTGTGGTAATGTGATACAGTCAAATTAGATGCTGATATGGTTGTGAATATATATATATATTTTTTTTTGCTTATTTAGCATGTCAGGGTCAAGAAAATATTTGAGCCGCTCAAACACAAGTACAATGCAACGAGTTAAAGATGAGTAAGTAAAAATGAAGATTATTATTTTTCTGTTTTAATTATAGTCCATATTTGCTCGATTATTTGAAGTATGTAGCATTTTTCAGGTAGATTAAGTCACTTGACTATATGGAATGAGTTATCTTGAAAAAGAAATTATATAATAACATTACATAAAGCCTCAAAGGGCCAAAATGTTTTTTTCCTGTTCTAGTTGTGAATGTTTACAAATGTTTATATCAGTTAATTAATTCATTGTTTTATTAATTATTATCTTCTTCTATATTTAGGGAGGATGAACTAAAATATCTGGAGTTTATTAAAGAAGTTACCAACGATGTTCTGGAAAGAGGGATTTTTACAAATAGGTCATTATTATCATTACCTTTCTTTGCCCATTTCCTTAATTTAATCATCTAATTTTATGTCAGTAGTAAATTTTCCAGTACTGTATTTTTTATTAGACTGTTTTAATAATACTGAGGTAGGTCGATCATAGATGTAACAGCAAGATATGCATTGCAAACATTGAAAGCTTGTTAAATATATTTCAGCATTTTTTCAAACTTATCTCTTTAATCCTGATACAACTTTTAAATTTGAATATATATATATATATATATATATATATATATATATATATATATATATTGTTCTTTATGGATTGTATATTAGGCTTAATTTGTTATTTTTAGGGTGCTTAAGCAGGTGTTTGAACACCACATCGAAAAAAGAAAACAAGATTTGAAAATAGTGAGTCCTCGTTTACATTGTTAAAGCAATTGCAGTAATTGATAAAGGTTCATTTTAATCAATCCTCGGCAATAATATGGTATTCATGGAACTGTCATTTAAAATGGTGCTTATAGAATGTAAAATAATTAGAGATTGAGACCATGTGTAAAACAGTTTGTATTTTTACAAAAGTCTATTAGATTGCACACTGTGTTCATGTGGACCAAATTGATGTAGAAATTATATGATCATTTCAGAGCCGAATGCGTGCCTTGGTGGACACTCTAAGGGAAGACCTTGGAATTCCTGAAGACGATGGCAGTTTAGACACAGATGATGTGGGCATGGGGACCACCACGTCTGTGCCGCCTCTTGTCAAACCCAGGTCTGCTACACTCAGCAATAACCACAGTGCTAACTACGAAGATGAATTCGACAAAGATTATCTCAAACTGGCAACGAGGCTTCAACTTGAGGGAGGCTTGGATGGATCTTCGAGTTTTAACTCGCAGAAAAATTACGAAAATAATGTGAACAATAACAATACAGGACATGGAAAATTTGAATACAAAGGGATGAATGGTGGTGGTGGTGGTGGCCATGGAAAAGAAAACGGTGATTTAGGTTGGGTGAATGGTAATACAGTGGATGTGAACAAAAATACATACTTGACAGAAGTCGAAGAGGATGGCAGTGGGAGCACCCTTCTAAACATGAAAGGGACCTATGACAGGCTAGAGCCAGTGTCAGAGGAAGTGACTCCAGAGTTGACGCCCAAAGCACCACCTCGGCGATCTCTCCACGCCATGTCATCAGCACTGAGTGAAGAAAAGGAGGTTAGACATCTGTCATCTGTTGAAGACGATGACAAACCCAAGCCCAGCCCTAGACCACGACCTAGATTACAACAAAAAAAGACCATAGAGGAGACAGATGATGATGACATAACAGAAACCAAGACGGTTACAACGGAAAATGAAGAATCCACAGAATTAAAGCAAAAAAAGACCTCAGAGGAGGCAGATAATGATGATGATGATGACGGCTTAACAAAAACCAAAGCACTTACACTGAAAAATCAAAAATCCACTGACGTAGAGGACAAAGAGGAAGAACCATTGGATTCTGATGAACTTTTAAGACAAGTCTCAGACAAGCTAAGTGAGTTGAAAAGTGATGATGATGATGCAAAAAGCAACATTGATGATAGCAATAGCAAGAAAAATGGTGCTCTTAGCAGGCAGAGTTCAGTTGATTTGTCAGAAAAACTCAACAAAGATAAAACTGTTGATAAAGAGGGTTCTACTAACCCAGAAAACAAAGAGGCAGAGACTTCTAGAAATGATGAGAATGCTGCTGCTGCCTCAACTAGAAAAGACAACGACATAGATATTACGTCAGATTTTGAGTATAGTGAAGATGAAGATCAAAAAGATGATGCTGGTAATGATGAAAATGGTGGAAAATCTACAGCAAGATCAGATGATGATGACTTTTAAGATCTGTAATATCAATTTGTACTGTCCAGATATGTATTTCTGAAAATGTTACCGAAATGTCACTGTATTTTGTTCTGTCATTGACATTTGCTCAGACCATTTTAATCTTGTGCATGATTGCACAGCTGTGCTACTATTGTTATAGCTTTCCTGTTAATTATAAATTACTGTAGCTTTAAGTATAGTATTTCAATATGATACATGGTAAGTTCTGTGATATGCTTAAAGAGGAATATATTTATATACACTGGTACATTCATATCATCATTTTGTTATTCATATTGTTTTTTAAGCAAATTTTTTATATAAAGCCATAAAAAGCCAGGTTCATTTTTCTTGTACAGCTCATTTTTTAGTGCAAGAAACATCCGTCCACAATGTTATAGACCTAAATGCAAATATATACTTCAAGTTTGTCATTATTTGTTGCATTTTTGTCATTGGTGTCCCTTTTTGTCAAAGAGAAAAAACAAATTCAGTATTTATTTATTTCTTTGGCATTTGTGTAACCATCCAAAGTGATATTTTTTAAAATCTCTATCATTGTCACCAGAAAGTATGTTTAATAGCAGTTCCTATGTTACTTTGTCACATTTGAAAATGGGTTTTCTATTATCATCTATTGATTTCAAAAAAATTTTATAAGGGGTAAATCGGAAACACTACTGTGGATAAATAATGCTATGTATTTTGATAGAACCAAAAAGACTTCAAAAAGTTCACTTTATGGGTTGCTTTCTCTGGTTTTAAAACTAGTCCTCTGCCTCACTGATAATAGGAAATTTCAAGTACATTTTATAGCTTAAAATTACCATTTTCAAATATCACCGATTCTCAGCATCTGTCATTTATTTTAACTAGCTTAATTTTAGTTTTCTAACAATTGTACATGTATTACTGCATTGAATTTGATATATAGGTTAGTATAATAGAATTTGAATTTGGTAACAAAGTAATTCAAAGCAATATACTGTAAGTCAACACCTTTGTACTAATAAAAGCCGTGATGTCAATCAATACTTACAGGAAAACGTCTCATTGATGATAAAGTCTACTTATTTTAAACATGCATCCTGGGTTCTTTTGTCACATAGATATGAATTGTTTCTTCTGGATGTATTTGCTCCTTGTCTGGTCTTCACAAATACATGACATGAGAGAGTAACATTTGGTGATAAACTGGTCATATTCAATTTAATACACAGAAAGGAGCTTTTTTTCCAAGTTATACAGGGGATGGTTACATAGCAAAACAAAAGAAAAGCTGTGCGAGTTTTGATGCTTTCGATGACTTTGTGCTCGCTGTGACCTAATACTGTAAAGTCACCAAATTGTAGCCAATGGTTTAAAAAGCCTGCAATTGCGAAAACAGCAGCATCAAAAATAAATAAACAAATAAATAATAATAATAATAAATAAATAAATAAATAAATAATCTATTCATTTTCTGTAACCATACTGTCTTTTGGTATTCCTACAAGATTAAAAGTTTTACATTCTGACATTGAAACAAGTACACAATTTGATAATTAGGGGTTGTTAGTTCCTGAAAATATTTGGTTTTAGCCATTAATATATATATTGCTTAACCAACAATTTCATCTTCTTGCAGCTCATAATGTATAAGAAAAATAAAGGACAAAATTATCAAAATCATTTATTACTGATCTGACGTATACATATTCAATATGAAATCTGTGATCACATCACACATGGACAAAACTGTGTAAAACTAGATTCCTTTGTGATAACATTTTCTGTAAAAAGCAAACTCATATTTCAAGACACTAAAACGATAATAAAATATAACAACTGCAACACGTTGCTGCCTATAGTGCTCTCTGAATCTTTAAAAATAGGATTTATCTCTGTCAACGCAAAATTAAAAGCAATGATCACAACATCTTGGCAAATAATTATATCAAACTGAATATTAATTCCATATTTATATGTATATGGACCTACCTGGTGTCTTCATCTATTTGAGACATCTTTAACACATAATCAACTGCAGATAAATATACATCTACCGAATATTCAACTCTTTTTACAATAAACTTAATAAACAAAATCAATAAGTCATTTTAGTAAACTGTGTGACCATTCATGGCCAATGTGTTATATTTACAGCAGGTACCTTAAATATTCACTGGAATTTCACAGTTTGCATTTGCATATCTAATACACAATATCACTTCATGAAAGCTTATCAAAACTCATGATTTCTTACAGGCACAACCTGTGCATAAAAAATGGCTAGTGATTTGATACAGGCACTACACTGCCTTTCAAAACCATTACTGCCAACACTGCAAAATCAAGCTTCTGTCTCAACAGCACTAGTAAAAAAATCAAAATAAATGAAAAATACAAGATAAATTTAAAATCTGACCATAAACATGGCATGAGAACAGCTGTAAAGCCTAAGCCATGAGATATACCCCATAACCCATATAATTAATCTAAATATATATTATCATATCATACAACTGCTTTGAAAGCACAACCAATAAGCATGTGTAAAGTGCATCGAAAGTGCAACAAAAGTATGTACAAAAAACCAATACTCATCTATTTATATGTTACATGAAATACACAAATGTACAAAAAGATTATCAACATCAACTGTTAATTATATTTACTATGTGCAATCACTTGATTGACAAACATGATTTGAAATGCAATGCACTAAAGTATATTTACAAAATCTATATATTTCTACAAGTATACAACTTGGCATTTTTAGCTGCTGCCTTCCAACAAAAAAGTCGTACATACACTGTGTATTTTGTGCTGATCTCTGAAGAACTTTCTTCATAATAACTTTATCATGGTATTGGCAGGTGATCCAGCTGATCACTGAATATACCTGGATAAAAGTGAAATCCCTGATTGGATCGCCTAGAGGTTTTCTTTCTTTCTTTTTTTTTTTTTTTAGAATAAAACTCCTTTCCACTGCTTACACCTCTCATGTCCATCACGGCTTACACTGGAGGTGGTCCATCCAAGTAGGTCAACATGGGATCTAAGGAGCGCTGGAAGTTGTTGCGCAGTTCGCACATGAAATCCTCCTCACTCATTGGCACGAGGCAAGCAATGCCGAGCAACAGGAGCAGCAATATCTGAAGAGGTAACGCTGTGCGACACACTCTCACCAGAAATGCCGCTGGACGGCGCCGTCTGACTGCTACTGCGCCTTCAGGGGGACTTTCGGTACTGGAGGGAAAAAACAAAGCACAGAGATTATTTCAAATGTTTGGCCAAAATAATGAAGAAATGAAACAAAGTATCAACAAGATGAAACTACATTTTTAAAAACCAAATAAAAATATTTCGAGTTCAGGAGCTTTTATTCAAATATAATTAAAAGAATGTTCAGACATATGTCTATATATATTCAACTGTCTGGAAACAGTCTCTGGCTATTATAACCTAGAAGAAAAGCACCGTTAATGTTAGTACACATGTAAGTATGCAGGCACAATAGTTACATAAGAAGCAGAGGGGTGTAAACGAGAATACACTGAAGTCCTGCCCTGAGACACCACTCACATATATATATATATATATATATATATATATATATATATATATATATATATATATATATATATATATATATATGTGGGACACCCATTAGTAATAACATTGATACCACAGTTAACTAACCATCACTCCTTCAGTGAATCCTCAGAGTTATCATCATATAGTGCATTGTAATTTCATCATAACCATTTCTATGATTTTTATAAAACTGATTACGGAATCACTACTATATTGGAAAAATCCTGAAATTTTTAAGGTCCAAGAGGAGTACATAAAATGTCATTTTTAGTTTAAGGAAAAGTATTGGTCTGACTCGATGAATTTGAAGCATATTAGATCTATTAGGATAAATAGGCAGCAGATAACTGACATATAGTAATACGTCAAAGAAGAAAATATTGACATGAGGAATTCTCTACAATACATTGATTAACTGCTACAAAAATGCAAGATAACATATACTGTTTGAAAATGGAATATTCCCCCTTTGGCTATTGGCTATTAAGTATGCAAAACCACATGCCGTCTGTGAATCATGCTATGATATGAGCATTTAATAACACAGCTCCATGGCCACCAAAACTACATACACTTAAGAGTTCTGATATCAAGCAAAAGAATAGAAGACTTACTTTCATTGACTGAAGGTACATCAACTACACATCTCACATTTCTAACATTTAAACATTTAAATTTATAATCCAAAGAATACTCTATGCTCTTTACATCTAGCAACTAATTCTATGCATGTAGGTTATATTTAAATAAAACTACCAAAGCTTTATTTCTTCAGCAGCACGGTCCTATTCTACTGTTACTATTCTACATAGGGAAGAAATCGAGAGCTAGGTTTTAAATTCATGAAAATTCTTTAAATTTGGTATTACTATCTGTTACTACATGATGCTTTTAATTTGAAAATTGCTTTAGTTCAAAATATTGGTTTCACTACCATCATTAGTTTCATCACTTAGCATTATAGTTCTCAAACAAGCATTATATTCAAACAGAAATCAGGCTAGAAATCAGAGACAATTAAGATAACATAGATATTTCTAATACTATAGTATTTATCCATTAATTCATGCAAAACAGGTGAGGGCAAATTCATTCTAAGATTGGATGATGGTACAAACTCTGATATTAACTTGTTGGTAAAATAATCCATGGCCAGAACATCCAGATCAAGGTTGAAAATCTCACATCTCTCTCTCTGTTAAAATGAAAAAGCCCTCATTTTTTATTTTAAATTTGCAGTGACTTTCTAACAAATCCGAACAGAAACATTTGAATACCTAAAGCATGCAGGGCCCCAGTGTGAGCTTGTCACCTAAAAATAATTTAAAATGAAAAGCAAGTAGTAAAAATCCCAAACCAAGCTGTTGGTGGGGTTAGTCAAGCAAACAAAAAGCAATAAGCAACACATCTTTAGGTGGTTATTTATACAAGGTTTGTTCAAATGAAACAATTCAACATATTAGGTATTAGTGATATTTATCTACATGCATGTAGAACCTACTGGCAAATGAAGTGGAATACATCATTTAGTATATTAATGACACACCACACCTAAATTGCATTAAATGTTAAAAATGCATCACAATAAAGCTTTCTCTTCTGACATGTCTGTTTTTACTATGGCTGATATTTGGGAGGAATAATAGCCGTTTTGATTCATAGCTAACTCTATAAAACCTTCAACACTAATAATATCATAGGATCATTTAAAAACTTCTAATAAAGACAGATCAAGTCTAGCTTCCTAAGTAATAGTTAACTATTTGGCAGAAAACAATGCATTTCATCGAGCTTCAATTTAAGTTAAGATGCATGTTTATAATGACAATTATATATCTCTTTTCATTATGAAATTTCTCAGTCCTTAAGCCAAATGAAAATACAGCTCAAAGAAAGAGCCTTTAATTCGATATTGAAAAAGAAAACATCCTTCAAAGAGCATACTGAAAGAATTATAATACAATCAGACTATTTGGATAGATAAAATTGGAAGCCTCCATGCAAGAATTGTCTAAACTACAGATGAACTAATACATATATACCTGGGTCTACAAAGAGCACCTTTTAACTTGGTTAATAATATGTAAGAAATACCATTTTTTTTTTCAAATTTATCATTCGATAATATGACCATGCAAAAAAAATTTTTTTTTTTTGTAAAAAAAAAGTAATGTTCCTTAATATGCAAGCAATGTGTTATATTGCTAAGTAATACTGATGCAGGTCAATCAACAAAAATTCAACACCGACCACAATTAGTCTGCAGTTGCAGAAAAGCTTCATGCTTAAACCACATCCATTTTGACATTAAAAAAAGTAAATGTGGACACACCTATGTACATGCTTTAGATATATTTTTCCTTGCCACGTGTATTATCCCAACCCGTGAAATACTAGTACATAGACAAAACAGTTCACATGATTTGTCTCTCAGTAAAACTGAAACCTTTAGGTAAAAAAGGATCAGAAAGGAAACTATTGTAGAAGTAGAAGTGGTAAAAGGAGTTTGTTCATCCACTGCTTTTTAATACACGTATGAAACCCTTACACTAAAGCACTATATGGATAGAAAATGTCATGAAATATGAGAGGATTCATTCCTGACACCGAAAAATTAATCTCTGGTTTCAGTTTTAGGATACAGAGACATGCATAAATACAGAGTGCACTGTTGCCATGCAATGGAATTAAGAAGCAACTATTACGTTTCAGCTTCTGCACGAGCCTCTGCATGTTCCTTCACTATCTCTGTTCGTATGGCCAAGAGCTGGGGAAAAAGAAAAAAATAATAATGTACATCAGTTTCATAGGAATAATCCTCACAACCTTGCCTTTCCAGACCTAAAAGTAGCTGAAAACTGACTTAGTGGCTTCTCAAAAGCAACTGGCTATGTATATTTTGAAACGACATAAAAAGAGGTCATTTTTTCTTTATTTTTTTTCCTTATTCAGGTGTGTGTGTATATATATATATATATATTAGACAAGAATGTACAATGTAAGTTTTTCTTCCATAAATGCACCTCTAATGTTCGAATTGGAAAGCTATATTGTAAGCACAAAGACTTTAAGCCTTATCTGTGTGAAGAGCAAAATAAAGAAAGCCAAACAAGTTCAAGCCAATCTCACAGATTTGTTGAAGAAGATAAAATTAAGTGAAAAACTGAAACAGTGATGCCGAAAACACATGGTGACCACTACAGAGCAATAATTGACACAAATGTTGTTTTTAGAAATCAAATAACAAACATGACCACAATATATGTACTCTCCAAATACACAAAAACTTCACATTTTAGTTTCTTTTTACAATTGTGAAACCCTTTTTCGTACTTCCATTTCCAAAAACTTACCTGTCTTGAGAAACCGGTGGGTGTCAGTGGAGAATTTGATGACCTTGACCTATATCTGGGTGTGCTAGTACGATACTGCCCTCTGTTGGCACTATCTGACAGGTCAAGACTAAAGGACAATGGCTGGGAACACAAAACAAAACACAAAAGGGACACATGAATTCAACATCTTAAAATGTTTTAAGAAACTACAAACAATGCACTGAATGAGACAATTCCTTGTCAAATGACCACTTAAGACATATAGTTTACTGTTCTTTACATTCTTTTAAGGTCCAAATGGAACAAATATTATCTCAGAAACCATGATAACTGATGAATCTAATATGCAATCTGAAAGACAGCTTTGAGATAATAAATATCTACAGGGTATTTCGATGTGGAATAGGTAACTGATATATTTTATATGTAAATTAAAAAGCTCGCCATCATCACCAGAGAATTAGACCCAAATATACTTACAGATTCTCTCTGAGCTATTCCCAATGCCACCTCCAGTTTACTGATATACAGCATGCATTGGCGGGATAAGGTCCTGAGTCTGGTGTCAATGATGATCATCTTCTCCCTCACATGTTTGGCTTCACTGGAGTCTGTGCTTGACAGTAACTGGTCAGTGGATTCCTTCAGGGAGGTCACTCTTGGCTGTGACCTCTCAAGGTCAGTCTGAACTTCCTAAAAGTTAAAAAGGTGAAAAAATCTTTGAGAGCAAATGCTCACAGATTCAGATCAAAATCTTATATTGCATAATTGAGAATGTCTTTAAATATACAAATATGAGTAATAATCAAGTTGTACCAATTTATTTATTAGATGCCTGTACTACTAAATACTGAACATGTTCAGATTTTTCCAAAAAGCAAAAAAAAAATATGGAAACTATATCACTGTCAAGATACTGTACCTTGAATTTATTGTATTTCAACCTCAGAGTATCTTTGTCATCGTGGATATTCACTGGCTCACACACTTTGATCTTGGCCTCCACACTCTCCAGCCACAGCAACAAGTCCTTGATTGTCTGATGGAAATCGTGGCACTGCATCAGCGCCATCTGGAGCTTTTTCTGCCACAGCGAGGTCTTGGAAGTGACATTTTCCCATCTCTGGTTCATGATCAGTAAATGTTCCTTCAAATTTCTACTCTCCTTGTTGTCCTGCCCTAAGAACTGTTGACTCAGTAAGTTGATGGAGAGAACAATGGCCTTGCGACTGTCTAACTGTAGGAGAAACTCCTGGAACAGAGCACACAAGACACTTTTGTATAAGATTTCTCTTTAAACATTTTACCACCACCTGACAGATGAAAAACCATATTAAACCCGTCAAAAAAATTTTCCACCATAACCATAAATGAATATTTAATTCATCACAAAGCTTACCACCAAAACTGTAAATTATCATTTTACAATGTAACTTCTATTTTTCATCACTGGATCAAGATTTTATTAAAAGAGACAAAAGTCATAGAGAAACCCTCACCCTGTGCCTCCTGATCACCACCTCCAGCTGCTTGATATCACTAGGCACGATGACCTGTGTCCGTTGAATAGCCTCGGCTTCATCCAGCCACAAGATCACATTTCTGATGTCTGTTTTGAACTGCTGCCATTGCTGTCGGCTCTTTTTCAGCCTCCCGTCTTTGGCCTGGGCCTGGGCTTGTAACAGTTCCCATCGCTGAACAACACCTGGGATGATAATAATAATAATAATAATAATAATAATAATAATAATAATAAAATTAACTTTATTTAAAGAGGATAAAACACATTTAAATAAAATCTATCTTCCAGATGGATAAGGAACTCAGGGGCCAGATATCCAGTGCTTATGTGTGATCTTATTTGCAGTACATATCATTTCACAAATACTCCCATAACAGTTGAACTAACCACAACTTATGAACCTATGTAAGAGTACCCATATGGCAATCTATCTCCAATCTTTTTATATTCAATGTAAAGCAATTGTGTAAAATGCAAGTTGAAATTTGAAAAAAATTTGGATGTAATATAAATAAGTTAGAAAATTTCACAAAATATTGTCATAACAACAATAAAATTTACTACCTTGAGCCTGAACTTGTACAGAAGTGGCAGCAGACAATCCAGTGTCTTGCTTGAAGCTGTCACACATACTTCTGATTAGTTCTAAATTACTTCTAGATCCATACAAATATTGGGCCTGAAGTAGAAAACAAGTATTCACACAATAATCAGAATTTAATTACTAAACATATGTATTTTATTTATATCTATAAAAATACTATATTGTTCATTACACTCTGAATTGCCATGAAAGTGTCAATATACAGAGCAGAACTATGCTCATGTTAAGTAATCACACACGTGCCATTAGGAAATTGTTCTTTTTTTATATACATTTACTCAGATATATTGTATGTTGTATTACCCTGTGAGTGGAGTAAATTTGTTTGTGCCAATATTATGCTAAATAAATAAATAAATAAATAAATGTGTCTCTAGCTGTCAAGTATATACAGTAATCAGCCAGGAAATCACAACACAACCCCATAGCTTACATATCCCATGGCTCCAGATTCCTCCAGTTCTGGCCCAGTGGGGGTCTTGCACCTCAGGGCTTGCTCTGTGTCTATCAGCTGAGCCACAGTGTGGTCTATCAGCTGCTCTAGCTCAGTCAAATAAGCCTCCGCATAGCCCAACTTGCCCTTCTTGGCAGCTATCTGCTTCTGAATTGATTGCCACTTCAGTTCTCTCTCTTCTGAAATTGAAAGGTGGAAAATGAAGTTATAGAAAAGTGGCCTGCACAAATATTTTCTGATACTATACACTGAATACTATGCAACTTGTGCTGCAGGAGGCAAGAAGCTATCTATCTGTGCAATTCAATTTACTTGCAAAAGTCTTATTTTTAAAAATATTTTACCCTTTCTCTCTCTTTCTCTCTAACATGATAATTAAAATCTACTATAATAATCCTTATTCTTAAAGAGTCTAAGCAGAACTGCTAAGTAAATAGTAATGGAGATGTACCATCCAGAGGAGTGGGACTTTCCGGGGGACTGTCATCCAGCATCTTTTCCACATCATACATGTCCCAGTCCAGTGAGGCCTCACTCCCAGGAGTACCAATACGCAGCCTGGAGGAACTGTCATGGCGGACGTCTTGGTCTTTGAAATGGACATGGCTGTCACCGAGCTAGAAAAGCCACAGGTCAACGTGAAAACATGTGAAGGTAGTATTTATTCCTTAAATATGGCCTGCCAAATACAAAATCCTTTCTTTTGTGATTTTCATAACTGCTCTGTCACAAAAACAATTCTTTTTTTTTTTTACAATTTGTTAATCTGTTTTTAATATTAATCTTATCTTAATTTCCACAACTAAAAGCCTGATTTTAATCTCATTTTTATGGAATTCAAATTTGTATGTCTAAGTTGCAATGCTATTTCTCCACAACAAACTACAAGCTCCTAATATGTAAACTATGACTAATTCAATATAAAACAAGTCAATAAAAGGCAAAAAATCTGATGTGGCATGCTGAAAACTAAGAACAATCAAAGGTGCAACAACTGAAACTTTAAAAGTGCTTAATATAAAATATACAACTATACACATGCACTAAACACTGTCACATATACATGCAGAAAAACTAATTGGTAAAAAAATCAATCTATAAATATTTATGAAAAATATTAAACAAATATGAAAAAACTTTTTTCTACCTCTTTGAAAAAAATCATAAAGAAGAAAAAAATGAAAATGGGTACAAAGCAATCAACAAGAACCGTTTAGTACAACTGCAGTCTCTCAGTCAGATGAAGGGTTAAGCTAAATGAAAGCACCACGTCTTACCAAAGCCCCGACTTCTGCATCATGATCATAATCATGCTCTTGTCTTACACTACGCTGGGCCCATAACCCTGAGATCTAGGGGGTTAATATGGAAGGAGGAGATACATATATACATATAACATAAAATAAACTGAACAAAAAAGGTGCACAGATTATATGAAATGTGAATAAGGAAAATTAAAAGATGTATTAAGGAAGGATAAAACTGAATCCCAAATTGGAAATAACAAGTCTTTGTCAGTGGAAACCATAACTATTTTGGACCACCCATCACCCACTTTATAATTTTAAAAAAGATTAGGTAAGAGTTGACATATTCAATGAATACTTTTTCTTGTGGCAAGATACAGTTACAAAGCATGAGTTACAGATACTTTAAAGATTAAGCAAGTTATTAACAAAAACAATTTCACAGAAATACATCAACAGCCATGCTGAACAGAAATTCAAGCTAGTTGTCATTCAGAGTAAAAATGCCAAAATGGCACATACAGTGAGCTTGATACGTGTGAATCTTAAAATAATTAAAATAAAATATAGGTGAGGAATTTTCTGCACAGATGTAGCATAAAACTGATATAAAGTGTGTTCAATAATGCAGATAAGCCAGCATCAACTTACATTCCCAGTTGATATTTTCTCCAGTTTCTCCTGGTATCTTTTCACTCTGAGCAGAACTTCCTTGCTGTACTGAGAAAACTCTTTCAGTTCTTTTTCTATCCTTACTGTGTCGGAGGGTTCACATTTCTGGAGCAGATATGCTGCGGCTTTGTCCACATACTGGAGTTTGCTGGATCTTGTCTTGATCTGCTCCTGGAATTCCTGTAGAACAAGAGATAATGCTTTACAATACTTTATAATATATCTGAGAAACATACATGCACCCTGGGATTCATGAAGTACTGGAGACAAAAGAGGCCTGTTGATTAAGTGAGGTATATTTTTCAGTTGTCAGAGACTTCTCAAGCTTGGGGTGCATCAGTAAAAATTTAAACATGAAACCAGTGCTTGCAACCACACACACAAACTGTATGATGGAATTGTTTGGAGACTTTTTAAACAGCGGGCATTTCGATCTTCAAATAAATACAATATTGTCAAATCATCAATATTCTTGAAATTAATAAATAAATAAATAAATAAATAAATAAATAAATAAATAAACCTAAAATAGTAATAAACTTAAATTAAGGAAATATCCAACATCCCAAAACTCACCAGCATACGATGCAACTTGGTGTCTATGTCCATCTCTGAGAAGTGCTCCATATTGGTAATTTGCATGTCCAGGTCGGTCAGCCACACCAGCAAGGCCTCTCTAGTTGTTTTGAAGTCCTCGTGGACATTCAGTAAATGCTTCAGTCTGCGTATGATGCCAGAGAGACGTTTGGACAGTTTGTCCCACGCATTGTTGGCATCGGTAACCTGCCCCTTCAACATGCTGCTGACATCAGTGCGACTCTCTCGAGCCAAACGACGATATTGCTTGTTGATAAGTTCCAGTTCTGCTAGATTTTCGTGGAGAGATCTCTGCAATGTCTGTAACAAAACAAATTCAAATTGTTTCCTTGATGTTTGCTTAAATTTCAGCTATAAATACATCAATGAACATTTTTTTTCAAATACTACCCAGTACATGTACATAATCTTCAGGTGCATAAATAGAATTTGTTAATATCTTGATAATGGGAATTTCTTGGAATGAACGCTTTATCAATCTTACCTCAAACTTCCTGAGTTCTTCCTTGGCTTCAGCAAATGTTACAGAAGCTGATCTTGGCTTTGTGGTGGCTTTCTCCATGTCTTTCATCCAATCCACAAAACGATGGTAATCCTCACTGAACTTCTGCCACAGCCGCCATGTTTCTTCAATTCTGAATTAGCAACGTATATTCTATGTTATCGATTTGGGCAATACATGTTCATCTAGGTAGGAAACAACTTGAAAAGATATATATGCATTAGGGGCTAAATTAAAACTTGAAGTTGAAGGTGCATTAAAATATTACAAAAGTAATGTTAGATATTTTGTAAATACTGACTTACTAAAGACAGCTGGATAGTACTCTAAATCCCCATACTTAAAATAAATGTGCAACTTTTCACTCTCTCACAAAAAAATCAAAAGAACAAAGAAATAGTTTTTACCTCATTCTCCTTTCTGTTGAAAGTGCTCTGATGTTCTTCCATCGTCTGTCCAGGCTTGTCTTGGCATGTTGTAATGCAGAGACCTCTACATCAGTGGGACAGGCGTCTGTATCATGAAGTAACACTTGGCACAAGTTGAGTACAGAGGCCACACCTGCACTGTGTCGCTCTATGTCCTGTTGGTGTTCCTGTGTGTAATAAAATACAGAAGTCAATCATCCATTAAACAATAGAAAATAAACAAAAATGGAAACAAAATTTTGGAAGAACCAATAATTCTTTTTCTTTCATGAGTTAGATTTAACATTGTTACAATTACCTATAAAGATTAATACTTATTTTCTTTATAAAAATAACATTTGATGTAATATCAATTTCAATCCAAGCAATTAATATCACACATCAGAGGAAGGTGCAAGTAAATTAATTGGTGTTACCTGTTGTTGCTGTAATCTCCTGTGTATCTCGGTGAGATCAGCCTGTTGGTACGAGACTGGGCTGCTCAGAGCATGTTCTATGTATGCCAGCCAACGTCGCAAGCTGGCCATACTCTTCTCTAACTCTTGGACTGCTGTTAAGGTCTCTTGGAGTTTCTTCAATCTGAAGACACAGGTAGAATGTAATTACCATCTTTGATGTCAATATTACTTATTATGAAATTGGTTGGTCATGTTTTAGAATTTCTACAGAATTTTTTTCCGGTTCTTCATCCTAAACAGCCCACAAGAATCAATACATGGCTTTCAAATGATGAGTACACAATAAAAAGGTAAGAGCTGTACTGATTGCTGTCACCAATCTAATCCAATGGTGACAATGTGTTTTTTTTATACAGGTAAGAACTGTTTACCTGGCTGTCACCAATTCTTGTAACCTCTGCCACCTGTCTCTCAGCTTGCTGATCTTGTACTCAATGTCGTTGGCTCTGACTTCACTGCTGGATTTGATCAAACGGTGGCCATGTGCAAACAGATCATCACGGTTAACCTGCATGTTTGTGATCTCTTCTTTATAGTCCTAGAAGAAAAAAATAATAATAATAAGCATTGAGCAACTAGGTCTTTAGACCTCTAGTGCCATTACAATGTCTGGTGTAATCATGAAATTATCTTACTTTTTACATAATGAAACAACAAAAATGCTTTATCAGGCATAAAGAAATTAAAATTATACTAAATAACAACATTTCAAGTTACCAAATTATGACCTTAAGAGATTAAGGAAATTTCAAATGGTACAGTACATAAATGTAAAATCATCTTTAAAATCTATAAGTGTTCCTACCTTTTGCAATTTCTCCAGTATGTCTTCAATATGGAACTCTTGGTTGGAAGACACCTTGGCCTCCATATAGGAAAGCCAGTCCAACATCTCTCTGTATTTATCATTGAACAGTGTCCACTCATTGAGACGATCTTCAATACAATTTCTCCGCAGTACAATCTGGTTAGCTATTTCATCCCACTGTTTGGTAAGTAGGACAATTCTCTGGCGCAGAATTGTCAGATCATCTGGTGACACCACTAGCGCCAGCTGGTGTTCTTTTTCCAGGAGAATTTTCCTCTTGTCTGCCGCATTGGCGAAGGCCGTTTCGAACTCCACACACTGCTGCAACTGCCGCTGGAGATCATCGTAATTCTGCGCCAGCCCTACATTCAAGGCTTTTCTCATTTCCTTCAGCCATGCAAGGATGTCTTCAATGCCTTCCTCACAACCTTGCCACTGCTTCAGTATACCCTCTAGGTGTTCTCTCCTGCCGTCCAGCTTGCCTATGATCTGGAACCAGTGCTGCTGGATGTCCGTCAGATGTGACCGTATGGTGGACTCGGTGGTCTTATCAGAGATACTGACCAGCAGACACCCAGCCTCGTGTACACGCTGGTACATCGATTCATGCATGGCAAGGTCCTTTTGAGTGGCCTAAAAATAGATTATAAGGCTTTATTTGATATGTCTCCATACTTTCAAAACAAGAGTAAAAGGACGTGTGTTGGTTCTATCTATAATTATCATACATTGCAGGACATGGTTAATGTTAACATGGTAATTCTAAGATAATCATATAATTTATAAGATTAAACTATTCTCTTCCTACACTAAATTAAAGCTATACCCGAGTCATCAACTTACTATACAGATGAATTTCCATCAGAATAATCATATAGTGTTTGAGTTGTTTTTTTTTTTGCCTCATATTTCATATCACCTACCCTCAAATGTTCAATCAAAGCCTTGATTTTCTGCAGTGTAGCTGTACTAAATTCAAATATATTCAAGTTCTCATCCATTTCATCAAGCCAATTAGACAGCTTCTCTCTAAGAGTCTTGTACATTTGCCAATGGGAAATGTTGTGGTCAATAATAGCCTTCCTCTGATTGGTTCTCCTGACAACACTCTGCCATTGCTGATCCAACATGGAGAGCTTCCTCTGGAATTCCTGCCGTTCATCTGAATCACTGTCTCTCATCATTTGGTGGCCATCGCTGATGATTGACTGCAGGATTTGTTGTCTAGAGTAGATTTCTGACTGGAACAGCTGGAGGGATAACAGGAATTTATTTGTAATTTATATTTCTCATATTTATAAAGAAGGTTAAGTCAACTGAGAAGAAAATTGTTTAAATGCATTACCAATTATTTTAAAAATGCAGAGTTATCTCAAACAAAAGCATGTAAATCAAGAATACTTTTCTTCTAAAAAAGTGGCACCAGTATATGACTCAAAATTGGTTTATCAACAGAGCTACATGTATGTACAAGATAACTTTGCTATAAGAAAAGCACTGAATATATACCTCATATATTTTCTGCTGCTCCAAAAGTCCTTCATAATTTCCAGCAATATCCACTGCCAAGTTCTGCTCTGCTTGCGCCAAGAAAGTCATCCATGCATCGCACTTCTGCTGGAAGTCGTGGTGGAGTAACATGTGACCCTGCATGGTGCGATATCGCTCAGACGTCTCTGCAAACATCTTATACCATTTCTGATTGGTCTGTTTCAATTTCTCCGAATTCTTCTTGCTCAGGGGGAGGCGGTAGCCCATGTTGTTTAGATTGTCTAGCTTGGATTGGTAGTTGTTAAACTGTACATTCAAAGCCTTCAGCTCCTCAAGCCTATCTTTCAAGGTGTCTTCATCGTCAGACTTGTTGGGGTCTTCCTCCTCTAAGACTCTTTCGGCATCGGTGAAGAACTCCTGAATCACTTCAATCAGGTCGTCAAATCTCCTCTGCTGTGATAGGTCATTCTGCAGGTTATGGGTGTGTTTCAGGAGAGCTTGTCTCATCGTGGACACTCTCTGGCTGAGGGCAGTCTCACGAGACGTGATGCCTATGATGGTGGTGTTGTCCATGTTTTTGGTCAACTGGTCACTTGCTTTGTTGAGGGTCAACAAAGATGTTTGGAAATTGTCCAGTTCTTGCTTCAATTCCTATACAATTTAAACATTTGCTTGTTAATTATTGTGAAATATGTTACTATATATACATAAAAAGAAGGGTTGAAACTTTTCATGACAAATTTCAAAGTAACCAGAAAACATGTACTTAACAATACACTAGTAGTACATATCATTAGTTTGATAAAAATGAAAACTTATATTTTTACCTTCTACATTCAACAGTCATCTTAATCCCATAACTAAACAGTACTTTCATCTCATAACTATCCTCCATGACTTAAAGATACCACTGACCTTGCTCTTGTTAAGATGGCCGTCCTTGTCCTCTGCCTCCTCTCTCAGCAGCAGAAGTTCATTACACTGGATTTCCTTCTTCTCCACCCAGTCCTTGGCCTTGGTGTAGTCTGCCTCGTATTTCTGCCATTTTTCTAGGATGCCCTCATACTTGGAAACTCTTGTGCGCAGCTGAGACACCAAACTGTCCCATCTGTGAAGACGAAAACCAAAAGTTTTAATAACAATGTAGAATACCCTTTGCTTTCGAACCAAGTGTAGAAATGACATTACATTTCCTGAAGGAATTGCACATACTAGTAATTCTTGAAATTGACGGCTGCCATTCAGAAATCAAGGCACTGTGCATGTATCAAAACACGTAGAGGATTCAGGAAAGCATTTAATTCAAAACAAGCTTGATGTCTGGACCTGACAGAACTTTCCATGAAAATGGCCACGGTTTGCAAAATCAAATCTTCAACCTATAGACATTGACTGTACCTGAGGCTGAGGTACAAAGACTGGCTAAATGACACAAATGTGCCCGATCTTACCTGCTCTTGACATCAGTGACAGCTCTTTGCAGTCCTTGGGTAACAAATGGCTCACATACTTTAATAAGCTGGTCCCCATCATCAAGGAACTGCTTCAGTTTGCTTCCTTGTTGATCAAACTCTTTCTGCATTCCCTGTAAAGGAAAAGTGTTGAGTTCTACACCAATATGCTGATTATCATGGTCAACCTTAAGTTCTTTACTAAACCATTTAAATATATTGTTATAAATTTACCATTACCTTTTCAAAAGCAATTTGATTCGATTAAGATACTTTTTTTCTATATAAATGAGTTTGTTCTTTCCTTGAACATTTATGCATAATTATTATGTTTATCTTTATCAGGAAACAAAAAAACAAACTATTCAAATGAATAAAGTTACTTTTACAAAAGGCTCCAACAAATGCAACACTTTAAACTTGGTTCTTATCCCCACCTTAAGTCTTAACAGCTGACTCTTGAACGTGGTTGCATCGCCACTGACCACGTTGTATCGGCTGAGCAGGTACTCTGTCTCGGTCAGCAGCTGGCTGACCACTTGAAGCGAGGCCTGGTAAGTTTCCCACTGTCTCAAGGTGTCCTCCAGGACATTCTGGACCTGACACACCTGGTGGTCAAGGCAAGCCCAGTGCTGGTTCAGCTTGTCCACTGTGGTCTTCACATCATGGATGCTGTCGGAGGAGCCCTTGCTGGACTCCATGAGACTCAGGCCCAACTTCTTGACTGATTCTATCTCATCTTCTTTTACTTTGAGCTGTTCTTCAAGTGACTAAAATGAAAAAGTAGGATTGTATGAAACAAATAATATGTATTAAATATAGACTAAATGTATGGACCATTTTTTACCTGCTTTGAATAAAATTTGCTGGTTAAAATGCAAATGTGACATGTCTTATACCTATATATGATGCCGCTCCATCATTTCAGAAACCATTCTATAATAATTGTCTGATTACCTTGCAGTCTTTGAGAGTCTGACGTATGCTGATCTCGTGACCAATCCGATGATACTTTTTGATCTTATTCTCCTGATCATCGAACCACTCCATCAATCCTTTGACACATTTCTCATACTCCTCCCATCTGACTTGTAGCATTTCTAACGTCTTCAGTCTCTCTGCCACATCACTGGCTGCAGCCTGCCAGCGCCTGTTCATCTGACCCAATTTTTCTGCAAAATCTGTCTTCTCTGCTTGGTGACCGTGAGGGACGCGTATGCTCATCTCCAGAGCAGACTGATTGACAAAGTCCACTGTGAGTTGCTTGTTGGAGATGTCCACCTTGAAGCCGCGGTACTTGGTCAGCATGATCTTGGTGTCCAGAGCACTGTCCAGTGGGATGTTCTTGTCATCCTTGAGGACTTTCTCCAGTCCGCTGATCCAGATGAGGAGCTCAGACAGAGCTTGACGGGACGGCATTAACTCCATCTGAGCCTAGGATAGAGAAATGGGGTAGAAAATTATCCATTTCTATACTTAAATGTTAATAATGAAAACAGCAGCTATGCTTATACTCTACTGATCCTCAATAAATGGCTGTCATAATTTGAACATCAATAGAATTCTAACATAACATTTATTGAGAATTAACAGCTGAGCCCAAAATCTTGTGAACTCCAAATATGCACAAGTTACACATTTTTACAGAAAATTTGACTGGCAAGAAAGATGGAAGATAACAGCAGACAGCAGCTACCTGGTGAAGCCTATCTTCACAACTGGTCAACTGAGTGGTCAGCTGGAGCCAGGACTCTTCAATGCTGTTTAATCTCTGCAGAAGACCACTGGAGTCTGTCTTTCTTGTCCTTAGGATCTGGTTACCAGTTAGCATCACCTTATTTTTCAATGGACTCTGATGTTCAACCTCTTTTCTAAATTCCTGTAAACAAAAGTTTTAACTTTATTACAATCTCAGAATTGATAATAAATTATAATTCAATCAAATAAATCAACTATGAATATGTGTATCAAAATCTATAAGACTGACAAATTATATGCTCTTACTTGTTTCCTTTATGTCAGTCATGGAAGTTGTGAAACTAGAAATTCCCACATAGGAATTTAACACTTCATTCCAACTATGAAGAGGATTCACACCTACTGTTACACTAAAAGTTAACTAAGTAGAACACAATTTTCATGCTTACCAGGAACCTATCAATATAGCCACGTATTGCTCCAATATCCTTGACATCTTCATCCTTCAAGACAAACTCTCCTGCCTTTTCCTTGGCTGTGGCCAGCCATTCTTCCAGCGTGCCTGCATCATGGTCAAATGTTGTCTGCTGGTCAAGAAGTACCTCAAGCCTGTGAAAAAAAAAAAAAATAATAATAATAATAATAAGAAGAATACCCTCTATTAAGCTATGGAAATTATATATTCTTTGAAATACTGGTAGCTTATTAAATTAAGGCAGAATCACAAATTATCACCATAAACATAAAAATTGATTAAATTATATAATATTATAATACATCTAATGATGGACACATTGGGAAAGGGGAATTACACACATACACACAACTTTATCTTTACTAACCGTTTCAGTTCTTGATTGGTTGCATTGTTGATTGCAACCCATCTTTCAGCAAATGTAGCCACATTGGTCTCCAAAGCAGGGCACTTCACCCTCTGTGCCAGCTGCTTGCCCTTCTCAACAACTTGGTACATGGCCGCCTTTTCATCGTTCAGTCTCTTCTGCACAAACTGGTGCTGTCTAATGGCCGCCGTCTCATCTCCAGTGGTACGAACTGGAGACTGTTTTTCCAAAGATACCAGCCACTCGTTTGTCTGATTGAACTGGTCTTCAAATTGGGCCCATTCTTCCACAATGCGCTCGATACGCTGTCCTCGCAGGCTTGCCTTATCTTGGACAATGTGGGTCAAGTTGATGAGACGCGTGTGCATGCTGAAGTAACGCTGGCGTGTTGCCTTGTCAGTTTTTTGTGCCAATGCATCTAGCATTGACCTATGCCCTTCTAAGTCACTGAAGAATTCCTATTAATGACAAAAAATTGAAATGAGCTATTATCCCAATTCAAATTTACTCTCTATGATTTTTATCAATAGATAATCTAATAATGTATATCATTATAATTATACATATTATTATATTAATCACATGTAGAGAGCCTACAAATGTGCAGATAGTTCAAATATGTGCTAAAAATCATTTTTACTAAAAATAACAGGAGTATTTACAGTGACCACTGCTTGATTTTTTGTATTTAAATAAGATAGTAATAACAATTCATAACTCTTAACCTTAAAACTATTTCCTATATATCTTTTTCACTTACTTTGTGTGCCTTCAGTTGTTGAGCCAGGTGCTGCAGATCTGATGCTGCAAGGGTGTCTGCACGTAGTTTGTCCTGAGCAGTGTCCAAAAACTCTGCGTATTCCTGAATCATCTTCTCATACTGACTCTGGACTGTCATGGCACGCTGGAGCTGAGCTTTCCTCTCAGTTGCCTAGTAATGGAAGCAAAGTTTAAGCTAAAGTTGTCTGAACAAAACATATTTAGGTAAAGAAGATGTAGTCCCTTGGTTGTGTCAAGCAATCATGTCTGCAGAATTATTTTTCATCTTATTTATTATGATTTAAAATATTGCTCTATAAAAATTTATAATAAAAAATTCCTCAAACAACAAATAAGACTCAGGAGTTTTTGGTTGCAACATTTACATAAGGAGGGTTTTAAATACCTGTTGCTGTAACTGCTGCCAGGATGTGTGAAGTGTATTCATTTCTACAGGCAGAATGGCTCTGGGATCTCCCTCACTCAACTCCTCTCCCTCCTGACTCAGTTTGTGGAGTTTTTGCTCATATTGCTTGATACTGTCTTCAAGTTTCTGAAGTTCGCAATTACACAATATAAAATCCAACTCCAGGTGACCCTTGTTAAAATTTTAGCAATTTTCAAATAGGTTTTATCTCTTTGCTGCCCTGAATTTTCTCACTTCATTTATGCAGTCTTGGAATTTATATTTCTATGTAAGTAGCACCATGCTGTGCACGGAATTCATATGTATAAATTGTATATTGTAAACATCAATTTCTCCACTAAAAGATTCACCTAACACAGACAAAAATTAAAAGTAGACTGAAGGAACTTTGAAAATGAAAAAAAAAAAAAAAAAAAAAAGGCTGCAAAAGCTACAATGACTGATTTAAGAAAATGGGCACAGTATAATTCAAAAGAAAAATGTTCACATAATCAAAGCATGTAAAATGTCTGACACTAAATATAAAACACAGCACAAAAACTATTCAAATCAAAAATTGTTTCCTTACTGGCTCTTTCTTCTACGGAAATCATGCAAATGGACAAACAATATTTGATACATGCAATTACAAATATTTTAAAATGATTTCTTAAACAAGCTACGTACAAGTTAGCTATACATATCTATTATAATAGCTGCTATATATATATATTTGCTTTACTAAATTCAAGTAATGTGTGTATGACACCTGACATCCAGAGGAGCAGGCAAATTGAGGATTTCCCCTGAAAATTCCATTTCCATCTGAAATATATGACATAATGATAAGAGTATATAAAGCTAGCTTACCTTAATCTCAGCCAGCTGTTGTTCAAGAGGTGCCACACTTTGAGCAGAAGTAATAAAATGCCGCCTGGTTTCTGTAAGCTTGCTCTGCAGACTTTTCACTTCAGTCTGAAATATAGAGCATTGACATCTTACAACATGGCATAAATAGAAATATTCTTTCTGATATGACAATATGCAACTCTTTTCTTTGTCTTCTTATGTCAAGCCTTAAAAATGATTAGAAAATAAATCATAAATTCATGAATCATGTACTTAGTCTTACTTGATAATGTTTCCATTTCCTTGTCTTTTCCATCAATTCCTGCTCCTGGTCATATCCCCTTCTCTCTAAGACTTGCAGCCGTTTGCCCATGTTCTCCATTGTCACCTTGACCATCTGCTTCTCTTCTTCGCCAACTTCAGGGAGAATGTGGTGTGAAGTTCTCCCAAGCTCTTTCACATCTTCCTGAACTGAGCGCAGTTCTTTCATGACAGACTACAAAAAGAAAAAGCAAACTTAAAAGCAATTTCATATCTAAGGTACTTAAACATTTCTTATTTGAGTATAATGAGCACAAGGCACCCATTTTGATAACAATTCTGATTATGTTCTGCATATATTCAATAGTGAACATTTAGCAAATACAGGAGTCTGAACCCAATAAAGCATTTTTCAAAATGTGAGAAAAAAGAAGTTTGTTTCAAGATGGACTTTGACCCTGCCAGAGGTGGAGTTCACACTTTGTCCACCAGATGGCACTAGGAATCAATTCCTGTGATCAAGACATACCTCATTCTCTTTCAGTTGTTCCTCCGCTGTCCTGTCATGGTCCACTGCGAACAATTTCACCTCAATGAGGTCCATCCATTCGGACAAAGTTAAAATGGTCTCCTGGAACTGACGCTGGAATTGGAGCAGACGTTCCGAGCGGGTTTCATCATCCTGGTCAGGTCGCTGCAGACGTTCCCAGCACTGGGTCAGCTCGAGCATTCCAATCTTTACTTCTTCTGTCTTGGTTGTTGTGCCTGGCTCATGAACTGACCTCTGACCTTTTTGGTAGATAGCCAATGGCTTGCCCTAGTAACATGAAACACACAGTTATTTAATTTAAGGATATATTACTTAATTGCACCAATGACATTCAGTGAAACTACAGCAGTTTTTATATGGTTCTTTTTCAATTTTTTTATTTTAGTAAGTAAAATTAATATTCAAAAACAATCAAATTCACTAATCAATTGACAAATATCAGTGCAAAAAAATGATTTTCAATCAAACCCACCTCACTTCTAGCCCTATTTATAACTTCCTCTGCTTGTTGTTTCTTATCAGCAGCCATCTTGGCTAACCTGTCCCAGTTGGCTTGGACGACGTCTGCTCTTGCCTCAAATGGGGCATCCTTGGGCTCCACATAGTTTACACCAGATGTGGACACAGAACGAATCAGTCTCTGATGTTTGGCAAGGTCTGTTTCAAGTTGCTGTAATAAATCACATACAAATGTTTGAACCATAATAACTAATTGCTGGTTTTTACACAATTACAATTATTTCTAAATTGTAAGTTGAAGACTGAAGATAAGCCACAGAATTATTTTTACATAAATATTGTTATGCTACTGAAAATAGAAACATTACAAAATACTGAAAGAGGACAACAAATATGAAAGATGTAAGACATGTTTTAACTACAAATACATTAAGCATTTATACATTCTTACCTGTTGCAATTGGTAATTCTCCTCCACCAACTTAGGACCCGTTTCATCCTTCTTTGGAGACAGCGTCATTCTGCGAGTGTCCTCCATCCACTGCTGTAATTCCTGCATGGAACTCTCCTCCTCAGCAGAAAGTGCCTGGCGCTCTACATCTCTGATTTTATCCTTAATCTGTCTTTGGCCATCAATGATCTGCAGTTTGAACTCCGTCACCTGTGCCTTGAGTTCGGACACCCTGGATCTCAGTCCTGTAGCCCCCTCTGAAGACCCAAGCTCCATGAGACTTTCACACTGGACGGCCATGTCTGAGAGCTGCTGGAGGCGTTTGTTTACTTCAGCTTGCAAGTTCTAAACAAAAATAATTTGACTTTTTAGTTTCTATATAAATGATAATATGGAAACCTTAGTTAAGAGACTGCCTTTTAAATTTACTGATCAAAGCAAATGTAGACATATTCATATATTTGTGGCACTTACTTTGCACAATCCCAAAATCATATTATAACAAATATATGTTTTCAAAATGTTACTGTGCTGTAATGGCTATTACCCTTTCAAGATACGAATAAAAAATGAAAAAAAAAAGAAAACTGCCAATACCTTATTTTTCTCAAGTTGCTGTTTTAAAGTGGCAGTATCTGGGTCTGTCATCGCTTCATCTGAATTCTCCAGTCTGGCTGTGGTCAACCATTCATCGAATTCTTCTATGTTTGTCTGGTACTCTTGTAAGTCTGCTTGGTGCTTCTGCTGGTCATGCAGCTTCATCTGTCAATACACACGTTTTTACATGTATTTCTATGTAATAAGTTATCACTAAAAAATCAACATTGTAGTGCATACTTCTTGCACAATTTCTTAACTCAAATTTGACTAAAAATTCTAAATTCTACAAAGATTTTAAAGATCACTTCTGGGCTATAACAATCTTCTATTAAATCATGGCCTGATAAAGATAGGAACACTTCATCGCTCTGTTTTACCTCTGTCTGTCTCATCCTTGTTCTGGTCATAGACTGCAGAGACTCCAGTCTATCGGTCAGTACCACCAGTGTGGCTTGCATGACTCGAGGCCCCTCTGGCTCTGAGCTACTGGACATCTGCTGACCCAGGGATCTCACTCCGGCCAGTTTTGTCTTTATTTCCTCTATGTGTGTCATCAAAACCTGTAGAATTTTTTTTGTTTGAAAGAAGAAATAAACAAAAGGATAATTATTATATAGGTAAACATTGAAAATTTGTNCGGCGACGACAGACGCAGGTGATGGCAATATGTACAGACACATCTGTGTCTGTACATAAAAAAAAGAAAACTGCCAATACCTTATTTTTCTCAAGTTGTTGTTTTAAAGTAGCAGTATCTGGGTCTGTCATCGCTTCATCTGAATTCTCCAGTCTGGCTGTGGCCAACCATTCATCAAACTCTTCTATGTTTGTCTGGTACTCCTGTAAGTCTGCTTGGTGCTTCTGCTGGTCATGCAGCTTCATCTGTCAATGCACGAGTTTTTACATGTATTTCTAGGTAATAAGTTATCATTAAAAAATCAACATTGTAGTGCATACTTCTTGCACAATTTGTTAACTCAAATTTGACTTAAAACTCTAAAATCTACACAGATTTTAAAGATCACTTCTCTGCTTTAACAATTATCAATTAAATCATAGCCTGATAAAGATAGGAACACTGCATCACTCTGTTTTACCTCTGTCTGTCTCATCCTTGTTCTGGTCATCGACTGCAGAGACTCCAGTCTATCGGTCAGTACCACCAGTGTGGCTTGCATGACCCGAGGCCCCTCTGGCTCTGAGCTACTGGACATCTGCTGACCCAGGGACCTCACTCCAGCCAGTTTTGTCTTTATCTCCTCTATGTGTGTCATCAAAACCTGTAGAATTTTTTGTTTGAAAGAAATAAACAAAGGGATAATTATAATATGGATAAATGTTGAAAATTTGTGTGTAAGAAAAAAATAAATGAAGACCCACATATGCACAAGGACATTCTATAATATGTCATTACAGGCATTTCGGACATATATACATATTTATGTGTAACAATAAATGTCAAAACTACACAAGAAAGATGGTAAAATGATCCTAAATATACCCCACCCCCACCACGCCCTGCCCCTTCAGTGCTCTCTGCCCAGACCTCACCTGACATTGTGTCACCATACTCTCCAGGTCCTCTGTAGTCTCAGGTGACAGGGCATCTACCTGTAGCCTGACCTGCTCAATGTTGCTGGTGACATCCTGAAGGGCCTCTTGATACTGCTCTTGTTTATGGAGGGCTTCTTGCAGTTGCTGCTCCTTGACACCAAGCTTAAGAATGAAATAAAGAATTTATGTCAAATTTCATATTTTTGTTAACCCTAAGAAATATAGTAGAGCCACCTGTAGCTGTTGCTCCTGTCACCAAAATAAGGATAAAAGGCAGGACCAATTAATACTAAATCCGTAAATGCCTTGGAACCAACCTTTTCTTAAATAATGGCTTCTGTAACATATCAAATCACTTCACTTTCTTCAAACCTAACCCACAGTTGAAGGTTTGTACGTGCGCTTTGAGAGACAATATTAAAGAATTACATGAACGCATATAACACAACTGATTTCTCAATAACATGACCCGTGAAGTTACCAGGTTATACAGTTTCACATACCTGAACCTGGAGAGTGTTCCAGGATGAATTCAGTTCTGCCAGTTGAGCCATTTTGTTTGGAGAGCCTGGACCACTAGCACTCATAGACACATCCCCCATGGTGGTCTCTCCCAGAGTGGACACTGTCAGGTCAGCTGGCTTGACTGGACTGCCCAGAGTGGCCATAAGGTCACTACTCACAGAAGCCTTCAAGGGAATTCAAATATCAAATTAATATCCACTTGTTTTTCCTGTATACTATTAAAGATAATTATTATAAAATGGTTCATCTGGACAGAGTAGATTTAAAATCAAGTAAATGATGAGTGTTCTACGATCTTCTATGTCTGTGAATTTTTTTTCTAAGTTCAAAATTTGTATGATACTTTAAAAAACATGGGATGCTTATATATATTTGAATAGTACCTAGACAACCTTTATACTAAACAAAAATAACAATCAGTGGAAAAACCATGACAACAATCTAAAACCTACCTGGTCTGACAATGATTCAGTGTCCTCTGGCACAGTAAGGACCCTCTCTGGTGACAAGAGTTGTTCTAAATTTTCTTTGTTAGGACTTTCCCTGATTTCAGTATCAACCTGAGCACGTTGGGGCTTCTTCTGAGGAAAAATCTCAGCTTCTTCCACCTCCATGGCTCTAGCTCCTTCGATTTCTGTCACCAACTGTTCTTGTACTGGACTCTTTCTGTCCCTCATGGCACTTTCCACCATTTTCCTTAGAGAGTCCGATGGTTCTGGTTCTTCACCTGCTTCAGGGTCCTTGACTGTACCATCTGTCATATCTCTTGCAGCCATAGCATTTGAGTACTCCTCCAGAAGATTATCAGTATCATCGGACTTGATGCTCATTTGATCCGAATTATCAGTCACTAGTTTGGATTTCTGTCGATCAGATTTTTTGCCAGGTTTCGCAGCATCCGGCACATCCTCATCAACTTCACGGATCTTGGGAATCTTTTCAGGTGGTTCCATTTCTTGAGACTTGCCTTTCCCACTGCTTTCCCTGTCTGGGGCTCGTCTTTCTAGGACTGTTTCAGCAGAACTGGCACTCCAGCCTCCACTTGGGGTATTAGACCTCCCGTGCATGGCACTTTCAACCATTTCTCTCAAAGCCGTCCCACCAGCATCACCAGGTCTTAGTGAATCGGCTCCTCGGCGCTGGGTCTCCTTTGAGCTTATGGAGCCTTCAGGGGTCATCATTATACCACTATCAGTCCTATGCTCCTTCCAGTCTCCTGGCGGCTGCCCCTGGGATGTCTTTCTGGTTGCTATGGACTCTGAGCTCAACGAGGACATCAATCCCGTCTCATCGCTAGCCAGACTCCTTTCTGAGCCCCAGTTGAACTTTTTGCGAATAGTTGGACTCATCTGCTGAGTTCTCTCCTGTAGCTGCAGACTCTGCTCATTGATTTCTCTGATTTTCTCCTGGTAGGTCTTGATCTGGGCTGTCAGGGTCTGAAGTTTATGTACATGACATAAAACATAACATCACAAGTAATATTACAGAAAAGCAATAATGAAGACATCTATTCTATCAAAGTCAAAACACTGCATCAACTGAAATGGATTTCACTATCCCTCAAACTGAACCACTGTTCTTCTTGTGTTTGGCAAGTGTTTGGTTATTAATATTTTCTGAAACAGTAAGACAAATTTAATGGATTTCAAATGCAATTCAATGGTACACAGCATGATTAAAAACCACTCAAAACCTGGCATAATAATTTTTAAGTAATAATATTTCAATCACAACATCAAATCACAATGTCAAACAAATCCTTTGAGATAAATCATGTCAGTAAAGCCAAATAAATACTTTTTACACAACAAAAATTCCATGCCAAATTATCCACAGTTAGACTGAAGTTAACAATAAATAAGTTAGGAACAGCACATGTAATGGTATTTCCAACAAGTGAATAAAAAGAGCTGTCTCAAAATTTCAATTACATGGGAAAAAAAATTAAAAACTATTTCATTTTGGTCAAAATTACTGGCAGAAAAACTGAACGTAATGCACCCCAAAACCAAACTAGGCCAGCTTTGGGGCAGCAAGATTAACATCACATAGTTCATGCACTTTATTCACCTTTAACCTAGAGAATGCAGTCTAGAAAAGAAGACATACAACAGCTGTTACATAAGGGTTATAACAGAAGCAACAGTACATTCAATAAAATAACTCAATCTTGTTAGTTTTGAAATATATGGCAAACCTACAATTTTAAAGTACGAAACAGAATGTTTTCTACACATAAAACAAGAAAGAGGCAAACAAAAAATTCATTATTTTTATAACCAATTAGTAATGTAGTTAGTATGCCATTAAAAAACTAGGTTTAGAACATGTACCAGTAAAAAGTGATTACATAACTACATAATTCTGAGTGCTGAAAAAGATAAATGAACAAACCAAAATGTTGGAAAAAGAAAAAGAACCAAAGGTTTGTTAAAATGTGTCAGTTGCTAAGGGATAAATATTAAAGTTTCTGCTGAAAAAAAGAAAAAAGTTGAGTGAATACATACAGTGTGACATAAGATTTAAAACGAGAACAGTTTCAAACATAACGAGATAACTAAAATATAAAAGATAAAATTGCAAGAAAATAACTAATTTTAAAGAGATATGGTGAAAGTAATGATAAATAATAGAATTTATTCTATGAAATTTAAAGATAGAGAAATGTATATGCACCCTTTAGCTTACAGTTAAGATTCATGACATTTGCAAACTAACTTGAAACTCAAGCAGTCAACAAATATCACAACCTCTGGTATCATAAACTATGTTGTGTTACACCTTGAAGGTTAACTCTTTATAACAAAGATTTTATAAAATATGTCTTTTTGTCTCAACTGTTGCACAAAATAATAAAACACCAGAAATTGCACATACAAAATCAATTACTGTAAAATTATTATTGGATTTGGTAGAAGATCAAATACAATGTTATTTAAAGTTTGTAGTCACAAACAGTCGAGACAAAAGAAACACGAAAAAAAAAAATCTTTGGTTTAAAGAGTTAGCATACATTATGTTCAGCAATCTGTTTCTTAAGTCCCTCAACACTAGATGCCACCACTGGTGATGTTGTCAACTTCTGCTGCGCCTCTGTAATCAGCAGCGTCAGGCGGCTAATTTCTGCCTCATATTTTTCTTGCTGAGCAATGGCTGATACCAGCTTCTCATATTGATCCTTGGCTTCATTCTGCAGTCTGGCTATCTCTGTGCTGAGCTGTGCGCCACGTGTGGGGGAGAAGTCACCAGCCATACAGCGGAGCTCCTCATGGCGTGCTAGAATAGTGTTGGCTTTGCTGCCATGTTTTTTAATGTCTGACAACAGTCGCTGTAAAAAACAAAAGGTTATGAATGAAGAGAGATTCTCTACCCTAGCTATCAAACTATTTTTTTTTCAAGTACAAAAAAGTATGCCTGACAAAAAACACAATGAAATACAAAAATATCACCAAAAGGATAAGAATGAAAATGGATTCTTTATCCAGGAACATTTCATCCTAATACAAAAATACCAATATTTAAATCTGCTCTCAGCAGTGTTCACGTAACAAATCTGTAATTGACCAACCTCCTGTGCTGCAAGCTGCTCCTTCAAGGACAGAGTGGTGTCTTTCAAATGCATGCTGTGTTTGGTTTCTTCCATCCACTTCCCAATGTCCGCCATTTCCTTCTCATATTGCTCCCATTCCCCAACAGTCTCTTCCAAGATGGCAGTCCTCTCACTGACCTGAGTCTTCACGGTGAACCACTGATCCTGGAGGTCCGACAGCTTGTTGGACACTGACCTGGCATTGCAAATGTCCGAAAGCTGCCTTACCGTACAGCTCATGGCTTCCAATTTAGAGTCAATTTCTGGGGCATTTTCAAGTAAAGCCTGTCAAACAGAAGAAAAGTTAATCTTTCATGTGGATATAAAGCTTACGAATTGTATGAAAAATGATTTGGTTTATTACTCTAAGACTTGGTCTCAGCTATATTGTGGCGACTGTTAAGAATATTAAGAAACATCATTTCATTACTTGTTTCAATGGTGTTAATTATACCATTATCTTTTACATGTACAGCCTCTTTGTATAAGTATAGGCAAACTGATATTACATTTCAAATAAACTAAGTTTGATCCACCCTGCTTACTTACGTTAATACTTCAGATCACAAACACATTAAGTCATGTACTATTCTTTTCTGATTATTAAATCATGTACAAAATCAATGCATGTGTAATTTTGAACTGGACATACCCTATGCTCTTGTAGCTGCTGTTTCACACGCTCAAGACTAGCCCAAGCCAACTCGGTACAGACCACTGTCTCGGTCCTAGTCAGCTGACTACTAACAACAATATGGCTGGACTCGAAACTATCCCACAAATCTAAGGCTTCCTGTAAGTGTTCTGTTCTCTCTGCTGCTTTCTGTAGGAGTCTTGCCCAGCGATCATTGACAGAATTAACAGTTTTTGTTATGGAACTTCTTTCTTTGGGATCATCTGTGAGATTTATAACCTCACTGGCTTTGGATTCTAATTGTTCTGGTTGAGTCTTGAAAAGCTCTAATTCCACACAAAGTTGCTGAAATTGCAAATAAAAGCATGCATAGGTGAAGATACTATATCTTCCTAACACTCCAAAACAATACACACGTTGTAAAATTACTTGTATTTATCTAAAAAATATTCACTGATCTTTTCTTGCAATTCTACCACCTCCAAAAATCCTGTTATATCCAAAATACTGCTGTGTTCTAAACCAAGAAAAGTTGTCCTCAATAAAAAATAACATCTATAATAAAACCTTTTAGGGATAAAGAACTCATTTCATCACATTCAGACTAAGAAAAAACTGACATTTCAAACACAAAATATTCATCTTTAAGTAAGGAATGTGGACAGATTTTTGAGAGAATGAGAATGAAAAAAAAAAAGAAGGAAACTGAATGCACCCTTGTGCTCACCTTCATGTCCTATATGAGGGAAAGTATCAATGTAGATACTGTATTTACAAAATATCACACAATCAGATTACATGCATTTCCATTCAGTGATTTTCATGCTTATGGATAACTGAATACAAGCAAGGCTACAAACAAACTGTTCCAAAATAATAACCTAATGCTAAAAGCCAGCTATAAAATTTAATGTTAAAACCATCTGCAAATCACCGTACTTCAAATATATTTCATAAGACATATATACTGCTCATATCAATATTTTCTATTGTCAATAGATGTCCTACCTGATGCTTCTGATTTGTTTCTTCCAAGTCTCCATCTTTGTCTTGAACTTTTTCCTCCGCATTGGTCAGCCAGGTATTGACCGTCTTGACCATGTCATGGTATTCAATCTGAACAAAATACAAATAATAAAGTTTTATAATAAGTATAGTGAGTAATCAAAATTATTTATTACTTTATCATATTACCTTATCAAAAGTAATGCATGTTTATCATATTTCTGGCCATAAAATAATGTCATCATAAGCATACATCAGAGTGATCAAGACTGTGGATTATGGTTGAAAGCTCTGAATTTTTTTTTTTTACAAATTTGAGTCTTGAGTATCACTTCTAATAATTTTAAATGTGTTGTTGTTTTGTGATAAGTGTCGTGAATCCTCAGTTATCAAGATCCACTGTAAGAACCAAAATGAGTCTTAATAGTTTTATTAAACTTTTTACACAAATCAAACCATACCCAAGGCAAACCTACCAACCAATTAAAATGTAATAACAAACTTTGAGCTGTTATATACTAAAGTTACCTTGCTTTGTTTGGCATGATCCAACTGCTTCTCACTCTCCTTCAGCTGTTTCACTGTGGCTTCCTCAGCCTGTTTGTACACCTCTATCTCTGTGATCAGCTCTGGGGGCAGGTCACGTGACAGGGCGCGGTACTTCTCACGTTGTTTGTGCACAAGGGTCTTGAGATGCTCGGTTTTCAAGATAACTTCTCTTTGCAAGGCCTAAAGAAGAGAAAAAGAGTCTGGAATTGCCTTTGTTTCTTTCAATAAGACTGTTGCAACACTGATGTAGTTTTTAAATAAGCACAAAAATAAATAAATAAACAAATATTTGAAATAAAATCCTGCGTTTATGCCATAACAAGACACAATTAAACAGTCTGCAAAAATTTCATTATTCATTCCTGAATGCTTTATCTATATCCTACAATTCTTTTTCAACCTGGAGGTGACCTACCTTATATTTCTCAGTTCTAGTATGTAAATCTCCCTGAGTCAGAGACTGAGATCTTGTTTGGGCCTCTTGCAACCACTGAAGAGTTAAATGAAGCTCCTGAAGGAATGTATCTCTAGTCTGGACTTCACCAAGGGCCGTCTGCTGGATGTCAGTAGCTTCTTTGTGAAGTCTAAATGGAAAATCATGCCATCACATTGATTTTTGCCATACATAAAAATTTTAAATTACCATTTTTTTCTTGTATACTCAGAATTTATCTGAAACTTTGGAAAGGAATAGGTCCTCTTTGAATCAAAATTTAATTTAGGAATCAAAATTTAATCCAGGTTCTATGCCATTATGAGATAAAAGTACTTTTTTTCAGAAAAAACTCATCCTTTGGCTGTACACCTAACAATGAAATAACTTTTCACAACTGTTACAACATACTTGTCATATCTGTCCTGTGCAGCCACCATCTTCCTCTGCACTGCAATTCTGGCATCACTGCTAGGCAGTTTACTCAGTATTGCCTGGGCTGCCTTCTGCATTTTGCCTATCTCCGAGTGCTGCTTTTCTAGCTCAGTTTTAATGGTCTGAAGAAAAAGATAAAGATGTATATCTTGATAACATATGGGCCTTACAGGGATGAGGCTGCCATTTAGTGAAAAAGTCAGCAAATATGGTGTGGGGTCCAGGGAGCTGCCTAGGCCAATGATATTTTTGGCTCCCAAAAAGTTGGAAATCTGCTGATAGTTGGAATAATCTCATCCCTAGCTTTATCAAAATATTGACATAACATTTTTATATTATATATTTTGAGTACTTTCTCTCAATCAGAAGAGAAAACAGGTACTGACAACATGTGCTGATACATGTTTGGGATAAGGGTATGGTGTAAGTTATTTCCATAATATCTGTTGTTATATTTTGCCATTTGGAATAAAAACAGACTGAATAAGGGATATGTTTTTACCAATTATCCACTCTTACCCACCCTGAATTCCGTGTTGCTGGAAACTCCCCTTTTTTCAGCTAATAAGACAGGTGAGTTTACAGAAACCACTTGACACGCAGGGTGCTCTTACCTGGCAGTCAGACATCTGGACCTGGAGCTGAGCTGTGGTGAGCTTAATGGCATCTTCCTTGGGCATCCTCTCCTCAATGGTGATTAGGAAGTGTTCAAATCTCTCATAGATTTGATAGAAAAGGTGCCACTCTGTTACATACTCCTGTAAATTATGAATGAAAATGGTTAGAAAATATTTGGTATAATAAATAAATAAATAAATAAATAAATCACGTTAAACCCGTTTCTTACTGTAGATATTCAGTTGAATGTGAGATGGTAAAGAGTCTGCCTTATTTAAGCATCCCAAAGCTAAATAAACTGTTTTTATTATATCAATATAGTTCAACAATGACAACAAATTACCCTGAGTACAATCTGTCTCTCATCTGCCTGACTGCTGACGGTTCTCCACCTTTCATTAATACCAGCTATCATCCTGGTAATGACCGTCTGGCTGTTCTGGTTTCCAGAGCGGGTCAATTCTCTGGCCTTCTGGTTCATCTGGTCCACTACTGCAGCACGCTTCTGGACAGCCTCAGTGAAATTCTGAACATAACAAAGTCAACATGCAAATAAACATGCCCATAATGAACACTGCCCCCTGCTGAATAAATAATGTTTCTCAAACAGCTTATTTTTGGAAGGAAGTGAGTATTGGTACTTTCAATGATCTAAAATTGGTTACAACCTTGATGATAGTATACATAAAGTAAACAAGTTCTATTCATGACTGATACTTTTAAGTCCAATGGCTTAAATCCGAAGTTTGCGGAGTTTTTATATTCAAGAGTTTCTTATCATCAAGATTACATACCTCAATCTGGACCAACTGTTTAGCAGCTTGTTCAGAAGTGGCAGCAGCAGTGGTGTCAACATTTTCCCATTTCAGTTCCAATTCTTTCACTGTTTGGCTAGCGTCTTCGAGTTGACCCTGAAGCAAAAAAATGAATAAATAAATTAATAACAATAATAAACCATCAATGTAAACAAAAATCCCTATTAATCCAAAAGTATGCCAAGCATCAGTGATTAAAATATTTGACTTAAAATATTTCACTTCCTTTGAAATTACACTCATTAAAAGCAGAATTTTTGCCCCTGTTGTAACATTCATTGTTTTTATTGTTAAAAAATTGAGAAATGTGAAGATGTTGGACAATATTATAAATTAATGTTATAGCCATGGAGACAGTATATTCAGAAAGTACCTGGAACTCATTCCAGTTTTTGAGCTCATCTTCTAACTGTTTCTGGCGTTTCGCGGCAGCTTTCAATACATCATTGAGTTTCTGGTTGAGAGCTTCTACTGACTGCTGCAGAGTCTCTTTGTCATTGGGATCAAGTGTTGGGAAAAGACGCTCTGCTGTGTCTTGGATTCTGGACATTTCATCAGTTCGCGTATGTCCATCAGCATAATATTCCTGGGTCACAAAAATATACACAATTTATACATTTGTATCAAACACAGCAGCACTTTTTGACTGAAATAATTCAATCATGAAAACTAATTCATGACAATATTTTTCAGGACAACAGAGATCACAAGGTAGTTTAATTTTTAGAAAAACAAACATCAAAGTAACGCAAATGTATTTAAAAAATGCGGAATTTCTTATTTCATATGTACTCACCCTGTGTTGCTGTAGCTGGAAGGTGATGCTCTCATAATCTATCCCATCATACACAGGGACAAGCAGTTTCTCAGCATCCTGAAGCCAGATGGTCAGTGTCGTCTGCTTGTCATCAAATCTGAGGCGGTTATTCTTTGCAGCATTCAAGTAATCGGATTTACCATATAATTTGGACTGAAAATGATAAAAAAACATTATAATTAATGTTTCAATATAAATTACTATTATTTCAACTCAAACATTGTGTAAAAGGAACTGTTGAGTGCAATAAGATTGGCAATACCAGGAAATAATCATTATATGTAATATATGAAACATTTTGGTTATACATGTACCTGCAAAGCTGCTCTGTCATTTTCGTATTGCTCTAATCTGTCTGTCATCTCAATAGGCATAATTTCATCAAGCTCTTCAAAGTGAGCTCTCTGCTGAGCTATCTTGGTTTGTACTTCTCTTAAATGGCTGTTTATTTCATCAGCAACAACCTGAAATGAGACATTACAAATTCATCAGATGAAAGTTCAATAATCACATCAAAATCACCTACTTCAATTCTAGTCTGACTCTTGGAGATACTGTGTTTCTTTATAATTTAGTCTAAAACTGCAACTAAAAAGTTGAATTTCTACATACATATTAATACAATAAAATGCTTAAAGGCCGATAGGGCTTACACATTAATAATGCACACAAAGTTCATGAAATACCTGAAATTAGTGGACATGGCATAGGGAAACCTTGTTGAATACAGTGACCATTGTTTTAAAGATCCCTTATGTTGTTTCCTTTTAAGAAATGACCCCTTACTTGATTAAGAAATAGAAAATAATTACGAGTTACAAAACAAGTGCCATATATACCTGTTTATTTATCACATTTTTCATCATTACCTTGTGTTTCTTAATCTCAACCTCCACCTCATCAGCTTCCATACTGAGAGGTACCTGGACCACAATCTCTCTGTTCTTCGACTGCAACCACTCTAAAGTCTTATCCATTTCAGTCTCAAAGTCTCTCCTGTCTGACATGATTTTGTCCAATTCCTCCGTTTTCTTCTCAACTGCACGGAGCAATTTATCAAATTTCTGCTTGAGGCTTTGGTTTTGGTCTGCCACTGTCCTCTGGTCAGTGGTGTTGCACTCTATGGCTATCTGCTGCCCTTTGTCCATTATGGTGGCCAGCTGGAGTTCTTGCTCCTCTAGGATGGTGTGGACAGCCTAAAGTTTGAAAAATATAATTATACAGTGTAGTATACTAGAATATACTCCCATATACTCTCAAATGATACCATGTGGTTCATTGGCTGAAGAACAGAAGAAGGATAATGAAGAATTTAATCCATTTTCTGAAATAGAATGTCTCTTAACACTATAATTGCTTCATTCTTTTTTATCCATATAGACCTTCCCATGCCAAGAAATATTCATGTTGAAACAATTGTGTAGACAAATTTTCACATAATATATAATATGATATAATATCAGTGTATTCATTAGTGATATTTTTTTCACTTACTTTGTATCTGTCAAATTTAGTTGGAGTTGGTATGCCGAGCTCACTGACTGCATCAAGTTGTTCTTGGCTCTCCTTCAAACAAGTTTCAAACTCTGTCTTCAGACTCTCATAATGCTGCCTGATCGTGACAGCATTTTCCAGCCTGGCGTAGGACTGTTCCACCTGCATCATGACCTGGTCAAAGGTCATCGTCAAGCGAGACAGTTCCGAGGCTTCCGTGGTTTGACCTTTGGCTGCCATACTGTCTTTTGATTGGTTGAGAGCAATGATGGTTGGCTGGTAATCATTCAACTGGGTCTGCAATTTCTGTAGAAAAAAATGTATAATATTTTATTGTGTATCTAACAAGTGCTTGTCAACTTGCTTCTGCTAACAACGGTCTGAAATATAAAAAGGCAACAAAATACTGTATATTTCTGTTTATTTTTCTCCTACATGCAAAATGTCTAGAACCAAGGCTACAGGCTCTTATTTTTTAAACCACATGCTCCCTTTTTTTAAAGTCCTGGGTATACTGTAAACCAGTGATATTCTTAAAAAGGCAAACAATCTAAGCAATGTCTACCTCACACTGGGCCAGCATCTTCTGGACCTCTACCGCTTTAATGGCCAGTGGTTTATTCAGCCTGCGGACATCTTCCTGCAGTGAGTTCAGGATCCTGGCACACTGGGAGATCTCATCGTCCAGCTGACCCCTGGCATATACAGTGTCCTCTAGTGTCTTCACACGCTGTTTGGCTAGGCTGGATATCCTGTGGGAATAGATCAGTGTAGATGTGAACCCATTGTATTCAAATACATTTCTATTTTTGTTGACGTCTTTACATTATGTTCAAGAGAATACATGTAGTTCCTTAGTTCATGAGCTTACTCCCTTCTCCATCCATTGTCTGATCTCATGCACCCTAAACACCCAGGTGTGTTCTTACCCGGATGTCTTGGCCGATAACGATGACCTTACATGCCCCCCAGCCAGATTCCACTGGACAAATAAGGCATCAGAGCGCTGGAAAACCCACCTGGCCCAAAAACAGTCAACAGGTACTCTCAAAGCCTTTATAGATAAACACTATGATCCGTCAATGGAAGGGGTTGACCTTAGACTGTCTGATTTTAATAAAACCCTAGACGAACTAGGTAGGGAAGCAGGTCTACATAAGAAAATCCCCAGTAAAAAGAAAAGAGGTAAAAAGACAAGTAAGCACTGGTACGATAATGATTGTAGGGAACTATTTCGAGACATTAAAAGGAAGGCACGTTCAGTAAAACATAACCCCTGTAAAGAAAATCTTCTAATAGAAATTAACAAAAAGAAAAAATTATACAAGAAACTGCTAAACAGAAAGCTGAACAAGTTTAGGGACAGCATTTTTCGGTCACTAGAAAATCTGCAAACAAGCAACCCTCGTGCATTCTGGGATCTATATAACCAACTACAAGATAAAGTTAAATCAACAGAAACCCCAGTTTCCCCCACCGAATGGTGGGTCCATTTCCACACCCTGATGAATAGGACACTGCCCCACAACAATATAAATTTTGAAACCCTGGTTAACCAGAGAGCACAAAACCCTAAGCATAACTTGTTCACCGAACTTGACTTTACCATAACTGAACATGAAGTAAAACTAGCTGCTCGTAGTCTTAAAAAGAATAAGTCCCCTGGTATCGATGGTATCCCAAATGAAATGCTTAGAGAGGGCATAGACTCACTTGCCCCAGCCATCACTAAACTGTTCAATGCTATCTTCTCCAGTGGTAACTTCCCCTCCCTCTGGAGAGTGAGTATGCTCAATGTTATTCACAAGAAAGGGGATAAAAAAGACCCCAAAAATTATAGAGGGATAGCTGTATCCAGTAACTTATGTAAACTATTTTGCAAAATACTTAATAATAGACTCACATCATTTACTTTTAAAAATAGCACGATCCCTACTAATCAAATCGGCTTTAAAAGAGGGGCACGTACAGTCGACCATATGCTAGTACTCAAATCTCTCATCGATAAATACCTAAATAAAATGGATAAAAATAAACTATATGTATGTTTCGTAGATTTTTCAAGCGCCTACGATACAGTATGGAGAAATGCCTTATTATATAAACTACAGCTGGCAGGGGTAGGAAATCTCTTTCTAAATATAATAAGTAATATGTATAAATCTGTCCAGTTTACTGTAAAAACACCAGGGGGACTGACAAACGTCATCAATACAAGTGTAGGTGTCAAACAGGGCTGCGTCCTCAGTCCCTTACTGTTTAACATTTTTATTAGGGACATTCCCGACCTGTTCAGCAACAATGAAAAATACAACCCTGTTCACCTTAGGGATAAACCTCTTAGTTGTTTAATGTACGCGGATGACCTCG